CTCCAACAGCCTAGGAAAATGTCACTTCAAGTTCCCATCTTTCCTGGCATTTGATCAGCTTAGATTTGAAAGCAGATTGCTTGACATCTTGCAGAATAGCACCTGAGGTCCTCCGGCTAAGTCCCTTCTTCCAAACAGGTTTTTTTTTCCCCACTTCATCTTGCTGCCACTGATACAAGAAGTTTTGCCTTTGGCTATACTGAAGCAGGATTGGGTCCCCTTGGTTTTGGTCATTTATTTACAGGAGGTGCTTTTAGACTATCAGGCAGCACCTGAGGCCTAAAGGGGACTGCTAGACATAGCTAAGAAATTGGAGTACAACAGCTGAAAGGGATAGAAGGCTAAGAAAAATACTGTATCTAGAGAAAGTTGGCTAAAGACCATCTTTTTATAGACTTGTGTGTAGTTTTATTGGTGTGTCCTTCAATGCAGCACTAGAAGAAACAATTCCTGGTCTCTAAAGCTGCCCTTGAAAGTGACCGATGGAAATTCAGATACTTCCACACAGCGTCGTGGTTAAATTAAGCAAAATCAGTATTAGCCAACCTCATGTGTCTTTATGTGCAGTGGGTTTATACCAGCTTACATGTACTGTTATGAGTAGACAACTTTTTCTGGATACAGTGGTGCAAATGGAAGAGGTTACACTCCAAGCCCCCTCTCACTTGCCTGTCAGTACAAGCCTACAGGCATACTCTTCTAGCGAGGTTAGTGGCTGAGGTTAGCAACCTCTCAGATCTGTCAGAGGACCTACTTATGTGGCCTCTCTCTGGCTCACTCAGGTCAAAATCAATTAGTCACCTCTAGTAGAAGGGCTGTGATGGGCATTAATGTTCAAACCATAAATAGGCAATACACCTTTCTCAGACACAACTGTTTACAAAATCTATGTCTGTTTACACCCTTCAGCAATTTAAAAGCTGGTTAAGTTTCCAGCTAGGTATTTTGCAATATACAGATAGAGTAATGAAGCAGAACTGGATGTTCAGTCAGAAGAAAGACAAGACCTCTGCAAGAACAGCTTGCAGGCAGTAAAAATTGAAAGGCATTTCTGGTTTGACAGAAGCCTTTCCAGTTCACAGAATGCTTGGTTTCTACCCAAGGTTAATCCGTTGTTGTTGTTGTTGTTGTTGTTGTTGTTGTTGTTGTGTTTATACAGAAACTTTTTGCCCAAGTTCTCATTTCCAGTTATTCTTCAGGATGCCCAAATGGGGCAAATCTGTTCTTGCTTCATGCCTTTAAAAGTAAACCAGAAACAAACTTGACCCCATATTTTCAAAACCTAAATGTGATTTCTCCTTCCTCACCATCTTATTCACTGCTGTGTCCTATGATCTCCCTTTTTCATCTGTTTTTTCACTATCACCCAGGTAATCGATTAAGACTTTTATGCTATAGAAACTGATTCTACAGCTGAACAAACTCCCCAGTAAACTCCCTCTGATAGGCTTGTGTGAAAAGGGCTGTCATTTAGTTAGGAATCTAGATGCCCTGTTCCTCTTGAGGATGTTTAATTCACATGACTGTGTTTGATAAGGGAAGGTCAGTTTCTCTACAAAAGTAATAGTTTTTAGCTCTTTTGTTGTCTTTATACGGTCAACAAAGCAGCAAAAGTAAAGATGAAGGTTGACAGAAACCAAGTTGCTCCCTTACATTTTACTAAATAAGGTTGCCAAATCTAATAAAGCCAAATTGCACGTAAAGTGACCCTGGCATATGAAATTACTAATGCGTGATTGTTATTAAGCGTTAAATTCAGATGCAAAGCTGTAGTTCATTATCTTTTACAATCAATTCAATTTCTTTCATTGACCCTAGATTTCAATGACTGGACGAAAGCTTGCACATATGATAAAACAAAATGTACCAAAATAGAATAAAATAATTTAGAAAGAAATGTGATAAATAGGTGGGTGTTTGTGGCAAAATGATGGGTAAGCCTCACCTCAGCGTACCTTTCATATCTATGCAAGAAGAGTAGATTGAATTCTTCCAGGGGAAAATCTATTGACTTGAGACAGTCCACGTAATGAATGAATGTGTTGCAAAGATTAGAATGGGGAGGATATTTTAGGCTAATTTGCCTATTTGGATGGCTCTACCTTCTTCCATAGAAGTCAGCAGAAGATTTGTCTTTGACCTCAGAGCACAAACTGGCACTGAAAGCCCTTTACTACTTTTTCCAGGCATAAAAACATTAACCTCTATATCCTGGCCAAACTCCAAAGTGGGTGATTACATTCTGCTGCTCTAATTTTTCCCTGCAGGCTCAACTAGATCTAGCATCACCTGATGTGTAGTGTTACTGCGAACAATCAAGTCCCTTTTTGCAAGGTTATTGTTAACTTTTTCCTCCTCGCCTCCTAATTTGTCTGCTTTGCCTTATCAGTTGCAGCTTGTTTGAAGGTCAGAATTGTTTGGTTCTGGATCACAGCTTTTATTAAATTGAGGGACCATGAATATGTGCAGTGCTACAATGATAACATATCTTTGTATCACTTTTACTCTCATATCATATACGTAGCATAGCCTGGCTATAAAAGGAAATTAAATGTATTTTAAAGCACTCAGTTATATTTTTGTCAAATATCACATCATGCTGGTCTTGAAAACCAACAGTCAAAAATGCAGCCCAAAATTACAGGGCATTCTGAGTGTGTTTAAAAATCAGTTGCCAATTTGCTTGTAAAATAACACATCGCTTAACTCGACATTGCATTAAAGCAATAATTTATTACACTTTAAAGAGATTATGATTTCCATGGCCATACGATCGAATAATTTTTGGAAGAAGTTTGTACATCATTGCTAGCAGAATTCATTTAGTTCATACTTAGTATTGATCTGAGACATTACTTTTACTCTTAGAAAAAACATTCACTACAAAAGTTAAGCAGCTCTGGTGTAACTGCTGATTTCACTGTGGCTCTATAAAGCTGTAACCCCTGCACTCTGGATAGTTGCTTATTGAGTAACTTAAGCTAGTTAGAAATATCAGCACTGAAATCACTTGGTATAAGCACTTCTATCTAAAATAGAGGACGCAGTGCTCCTTCCCCCAGCACGGTCTCAAATAAGAGGGCACTAAGTACAGTCTGGTGGGTTACCCATGTGGAGAAGCCACACAGATTCTAGCTCTGGGGACGTGCATTGATTGCTTAGTCCCAGTACCACAGGGTTAAGTGAAATGCTATCACAGTAATTTGTTATTAAGAGAAACAGTGACGGCTTAGATTAAGGAGATTTGTCTGTCTCTTCTAATTAAGGTTAGGTTCTTAAGAAGCTTTACTATCCTTTGAAGCTACAGAGACTAAAATTAGGACTCTGGTTCTGTTTAAAATGTCACTAGGTTGATCTATAATCCTGTAGTGATTGCAGCAAGGGATCATTCTTCCAACGTTGTGATTCCTTGTTTGGAAGCTAGTGAGCCAGGACAAGACCCCATGAATCAAAGTCTGAGTAGTGTATTAATCAGCAACAAGTTGGTCCTGCAGAACATCGTAATGCTCTTGCAGTGACCCCCTGAAGACTGCATAATAAATGGGAAGCTGGCAAAGAAATCAACTGTAAGACACAGTATTTGTGTGTGCAATTCTGTTGCAGGCGGAGAGCAAATGGTAGCAGTAAGTGGGCTGTGTACAGAGGGTGGAGAAATGGTTAGGAGGGAAGATCTGTTTTCAGGCTGTAAGTGAAGTCATTTTACAGTGGCATTTATAATTCTATACATGACAATAGCATCTAAGGCTCTAGTGTCCTCACTGGTGGTCTACAGACAATGTCAAAACCTCAAAGCAATAGATGGACCACTTCCAACTTTTCTCATTATGCCCCTATTTACACAACGTACAGTGAACCTGTGGAGCTCACTGTTACAGGATAGTAACAGCAAAAGCGTAAATCAAGTTACAAAATGTTTAGCAAATTTTAAGCTTGGATTCAGTTTTCCTTACATATGTGTAGACCTAGAACAGCTCTGCCTAGATTAGTAAATTGCAGAAATGTAAAATGTGAAATGGAAAAATCAGACCCATTTATGAAGAACAAAACCTTCTTTGACAATATTTAGTGTGATAAAACATTTGGAGGAAAAGAAGCCTTGATACTTCAAGTCACAAGTCAATTTCTAGTTGGCTGGGATTAGGAAAATACTTTTGCAATAGGTAAGACATTAAATTATGGTTTACTACAGGATGCCTTTCTCTAAATGATCTGATGCTGCATTGCAGCTGAGAAAAAACAGGGAGAGTGTGTGGACCAACAGTCTTCTGCAGTACGCCAGGTCTTATGTACCTGTCAGGTAGGACAGCATGCTGAGAGCCACTAAATTGATATTCAGCAGCTCACAGAGGGAATCATCTTTTAATTTGGTTTAGTGAAACAAAGCAAGTTTATATGTATATTGGTATGGATGAACTGCAAGTTCGGAGTCTCAGGTATCTGACCAAGAAAATCTCTCATCAATGAATTCAGTAAGAGTCTACAAGCTTTTACTGATCAATCTGCTGAGCAGTAAATGAAACTCAATTGCTCTGTTGGACTGTGTTTATAAACCTTTCATGTTACAGTGCATCTCTTTTGCTTTGCCATTCTTTTTCTCTTAGATTAACTCTGTCATGTTTTTATAGACAAGAGCATCCAATTAAGCAGCAAAATCAATGCCCCATTCAGATAACCACTCACAAAGTCTGAACAGCACATATTCATGAAGGATCTCCTGAGTAAAAACTATTTGCCCCACAGAATCTTGTGATTGGTTTCAAATGATGAGTAAAAGAGCTGAAAAAGATTACAGGAAGTCACTTAGTTCAGTCCCCTTTATTTACTCTTACTCAGATTAAGATAGGGATGAACAATACCTACCTTTTGTGAACAAAGAAGCAGGGTGGTTCACCAAATATTTCTTATTGTGAGAGAAGGGTACAGTTGTAATCAGTATGGTTTGCTTTGAGCAATTCAGTCTACTTTAGTGTGTCCAAAATCTGGTTCCTATTGCAGCAGGCATGAGCAGTTCCTGTGTGACACTGGCCGAGGTCCTGTGGGCAAAAGGAAGCCCTTTGGAGGAAGAAGAAATATGGGCACTCTTGTACCTGGCCACAGTGCAGCTTCTGGAGGACCTTCACAAAGGTGAGCTGAAAAGTATCTTCTTACAGTTCTTACTGTTGGAAATTAATTTTTGAGTTATTTTAGCTCTTTTGAGGTTTTGTTTGTTTGTTTGGTTGGTTTTTTTGAGACAAAAAGCACTAATGGCAATAATAGCATATTGCTGATAAAAATGAGAAATCTTTCAGTGCTGCTGGGATTACATGCAGACTGCTCTGCCTACATAAGGGATCTTCACCAGGGTTTTTTTTTTCCCAGATTACACATCAGATATTAATTCATCTAAGTACAACTATACACAGTGGAACAGGACAGAAGAGTCCTTCCTAAAGTGTGAATAACATACACACACAGAAAGTGCAGTGCCAGCTAGGATCATGTCCTTCATGTACTGATAGAGGAGGACAGGCAAATCCACGTGGCTCCTCATTCAGCTAGTAAGAGACTTTTATCTTTGATGATAATAATGTGACTTATCATAATGGCTAGGCAAGTCATCATGATGAATGCTTGCCAAGCAGGCCAGCTGTACAAGAGAGCACAGCTGAGCAACCTGTCACATTTTGAGAACTGCTTATGACAATGGATATTCCTTTTGAGGGGAGAATGGATGAGATGTGTTCTTACCTCATGAGCATGTAAGAATCAAAATAGAACATACTGAAAACAAGTGATTTGTAACTTCTGCTATAGCTGGTGGTGTGAACTTGTATGACCAACTAGTTTTTAATGGACTGGAACACTATAGCAGGTTGACTATACCATCAGTTCTCTATTATCTAGTGTAACAAGAGGATAGACCAGCCCAGATAAGACAGGCACCAGGAGTGTGCAAAGGAGTGCAGCACAGAGATACCCACCCGAATAGATTCAGCTCAGGTCCGTCACAGCTTATTAACTCAGTGCCAGACACTAAGCTGACACTATGCTCTCCTGACCTCTTGTTTAAAAAAAAAAAAAAAGACAAGATTGTTGGATGTCTATTGAATTGAGATAATCAGCCTACGTTCCCTATGCTGCACCAGATAAATTTAGTGTACTATGATGCGAAGATGAAGAGTAAAACAAGAGGAAGTAGGGATGTAGAACCAAGCTGGTCTATAGGTCAAGTGCAAGGCGGCTCAAACATGTCTTTAGAGAGCTCAAGTCCAGAAGTGATGCCAAGTTGGACTCATACTGACGCTGAATCCCCAGTGCTCCAGTTTCTTGGAGGGCAGCAAAGGTGAGCTGCCTCTGCATAGCATCATCCCAGTTGACTAAGGCATATCTCTGGCTCCACATCTCTTAATTACAGCTATATTGCTTCTGGAATCAGCCTCTTCTCAGGGCTAGTACTGCCCCATTTGTGCTGCAGTGTGCTTGATGTAATAAATCCTGCTAGACCTGCTAATGGTCAGCACCACTTGCTATAGCAATATTTCCGATGTGTTTGGGCACTGACTGGTTAGGCAGGTATGCTGACTCGTTGGCTGGCCAACATTACAGAAGGCCAGGTAATCTTCATCGAGGCTAAAGTAGAAGCTGACTATCTGTTTCTAAAACAGACAAATTTCCCAGCATGTGCTAGTTGTATTTGCATACAATACTACAGAAAATGGGGAAGGAGCAAAAGAGAAGGCTAGCTGATGATTTTAAGACCTTTAATTTTCTAAAGAAGTAAATGCCACAACTGTTGCAAATACCAGTGGCCCATAAGTCTTGAATCTCTGCATCCTCTGGCTATACAAACCTTCTAGGTGTATATGAGTTCCCAGCTTAACATTTTACCCATTTTTTATCATCCATTTTCCTGATGTAAAGGTCGCTATGCATAAGAACTAAGTAGCCATTTTTTAATATATAATTTTTAAATGCTAAAATACCAAAGCATTTAGGGCATGTTTCTGAGCTCTTCTATGGAGATCTGAATGGTGTCTGTTCTCACGGTCTAGACTGAAGAGAGCAGTTCGACAGCCAACATTTTTTTTTTTTAAATTACCTGTATTTCCAGGAACCCTATATCTAAATATTGCCATAGTTAATGCAGCTTTTCCTCTTTCTAAAGTAAACAGATTGATCTTAGATGCTTTTTACCATGCTTTTTTAATGAATATTTTAATGAAATCACTTGGATGTCTTTGGTCAAATTCACTTAACGCATGTATGCAAGTGTGGAGTGTTTGCAGAAGACTACACATCCTCATGCTTTCACTCCTGCTTCAGACCACTGGGACTGACCTCAGTGGATCTCTTCAGTGATGTTTTTTAAGAGTATTCAGCCCTTACAAGAAGAATCCATTCCATTACTGAGACACCTTCAAATAGATTTTTTCAGGAAACAGCAAGGGCAAGCTGTTCCCTCAGGGACAGGGAGCCCAGACCCAAGTGTGGTTACAAGGGTGGCAGGGCAGGGGCTGTGCCAGCCAGGGCCCTATCCCACAGTACCCAAATAAGGCAAGCAGGGCAGGTCTGGGGTTGACAACCGACAATCCAGACCACCACACAAGTTTGTGGTGACAAGGCAGGTCCGAGGTCAAGCTGGGAAGCTGAGTCGGGATCAGGTCTTGTGTGGGCAACCAGGGTCAGACAGCCCAGCGATCACCAGGCAAGTCCACAGTGACAAGGCAAGTCTGAGGTCAGGCTGGGAAATCAGTCTGTGAGTCAGGATCAGTGAGGTCCACAGTCAGGCAAGGCATGGCTGTGGCTTAGCTAGAGACTGGCGCTCCTACACCATCCCTCAGGCAGGGACTCAAGGCCTTGGGCTGAGCTTAACTGGAGCCTGGGACTATGGGCAGAGGATGGGGGCAGGTCCCAGGTGAGGCTGGTCAGGGCCATTAAGGACCTTGTCAGGTTTAGGGGTCTACATTTATCATTTAAAAACACTTTTGTTTGAAATTTCCCCTCTCTTTTAACAGAACTGACACACAAACAAAGACTGAATGTGAATAATGCTAAAATATCATGGCTGATCAGGTTACAGGTAGAATCTAGTCTAAGTTTTAGTTTGGATAGTTTTCATATTTACATTCTGGTAAAAAAAATCCCAAAGTTCAGGTTAGTTGGAAATTATGTTTCCACTTAAAGAAAAGCTTAGTAGGTTATAGCACTGGGACTTGGGAAGTTTGTTTCTACTGTTACTTCAGCTTCTGTTGACTGACACGGTGTAGTCATCAAAGCTGGGCTCTGCATCAGTTTCTTCATCTGTACAACAGAAATAAAAAGATAGTGACTCCTGACACTGACTTTCTGGCAAAGTAACTTGGCTTTGGTAGACACAATACACTGAAAGAGAGGTGACTAAAATGCAGAGCTGGCTGACTATAAGCAGCACACAGAACAAAAAAATATCACCACAGAGAAGAGATTTGTACCATGGTCATGATACTTAATGAAAGCTAACTTAAGGTCTTTTGCAAATGCCAGCTTCAAAGTATTCGTGCTTTATTGGAAATACTTTTCTGATATTCTTTTGTGCTTTGCATAAAAAGATCAACCAAAAATGTCAAGATCTTCAGAATCTGCACATGGGATGTAATTATGCCTTTCCTTAGGCTTCAGAAATCCATTGAAATCAATGTATCATTTATATGTGTGAAATGATGGGAGAGAGAAATCAAGCCTTTAACCATCACTGAATTCCAGCTGACAAAATCAGCCAGGCATAAATGAACATGATTCCACTGCCTTCTGGGTACATCTCCAGGAAACTTCAGTGATGGGTTTGGCTATGCAGGTGAGACGCCACCAATATGATTTTCTGAGCACAGTGAAGTCAACACTAAGAACTCCATTATCTTCTTCAATACTTTTCAGACCCTGCCATCTGTGTGATTTGTCCATGGTCAGTACTACTGTCTGCTGAAGGAAATTTGTCCTTCCAAAACAATGCATCTGAGACAGAAGCTGTCCCTTTCAGTGCACCAGAATTGCTCCACAGACAAAGTACAAACCAGCGCATTGGACTAACAAAGGTGAGGTATATTACAAAATAAATCTTGACAGTAGCTCATGAAGACAAGCTTGTGGGTTTTAATGCAGCATACCAGGTATCTACTATCAAACTCTATTTCTAATAACATTAAACAAATTAGGCTACAGTTAGAAAGATTTACTTGTATCTTGCAGCTCGCCAGTAGATTAGCATGCATGTCAACTTCAAAATCAATTTTGAACATCAGTCCTCAAGGTCTGCAGAAATGTATTATTTGTAAAGACCCACAGAAAGGAAGAATATTTCTATGAACATGATGTTTGACTAGATATGGTAATTGTAGTCCCAGAAGCAGCAGGACTGCAGTATCTATACAATCAGAGAGTGGAAGCACTCCCAGGAAGTCAGAAATATGTTCAGCTTTGTTAACAATTTACTTTTCTTCTCCCCGCCAAATGAGTCTTTCTGGCAAGACAGTAAGATACAACACTCAGGTAGCTAAAAGTTTTAAATACCACAAGGACCACATCAGTGCATACTTCCCTCAGGCAGAACACAGGAGTTTCAGACTCCCACATAACTGATCACTTAGACACTATGCAGAAACATGAAGCTTTGGAATAGACGGCCCTTACTCCAGTAATCCTCTTCCTGGACATGACTGCTAGTCAGTCCCACAGGTAGGGGAGAGCTTTAATTGCCAAT